ATAAAGTCTCACAGTGTTATACAATAATATTTACTGATGACCAGGTTTCGAGCACAATTTATTACTGCTCATAATCAGATCGAGTTTTCACAATCATTAGAAACTCTTTAGTTTTCTAGATTTGCCTTTCTTGCATATCTAGTGATTGTTAATAGGGCTAAATAAGTGTTGACTGTGATTTTGCCTATCATGTCATACAACCCCTCTCTTGAGCGTGACCTGTAAATGAATTTTAAAGCAACTGACTGACGTATTGAGACCTGACTACTGTATGACTGGTGAAGAAGTGGTCAGTAGTATTGGTCTCGTGGAAGTGTCTTGATGGACTATCAGTATTGAACAAGTGCGTTGGCTGATTATAGGTGACATAAGACCTCCCATGAAATTTGTGCCGCATATCTGTGTTTCAACGGTCTTCAGATCAATAGCATCGTACACGTGGCACGAGTCCCACTGTCTGGGAAATCTGTACGAAGTTGTTTTTACAGGAGTCAAATTTACTGTTTATTTTTCACATTACTAAGCGGTAATGTTTACTCACTGTTGTTCAGCTTCCATTCACTGAAATTATGCAGCTCCTGCATCATCATCATCATTATCCTTTTGGTTTCTGTAAAAGAATCGTACTACGGGAATAAAGTGAATGCAGTTAACTTGCCCGTTTCAGCAAATTTCTTGCATGAAATACATTTCCACTCAGGTGTAGGCTTAACGCCAGCCTGAATTTCCACGTCTGTAACATTGAAGTTGTACACGCAGAAGCTGCCGATCAACATCCAGTTGTCGGCTACAATGAAAAATTTCACCTATTTTGTGGCGAAAGTAGAAAGTACCTCTCTCCTTGATCCTAAAAGAAAGTTTCATGAAGAAGAATTGTTAAGAGTAGAATTTGTTTTGTTTCAATATTCATGTAAGTATGACCACAGGACGGTTCACCATTTTAGGTTACTTTGTCTGATTTGCAAAGAAGTATGAGGTAACGGTGTGACAACGCTATATTCGTCCATCGTAACTAAAAAACACTTACACATAATGTCTTTCGGTTTAGTGCATGTAGTATTAATCTTTATAGTGCGGCATTTGAAAATACTTAAGATTAGATGAATTGAAAAACTTTTTGAAGAAGTCATCTGGATTCATATAGGGTAGGAATAACAGTGTTTTTCCATGAGTTACGGTTATGAACTCAACGACGTCGTTATCCGGAAGCTAAGAGATTATTACGGTTTCTTTAGAACTAAGTCGTTTCCTACTTACATCCATACTGATTTCACTATCAATTTTGGTTGAAGTTTGCACTCATGATACAGCTTTTCCATGTATATCCGTGCTGCTTGCTTAGTGACTACATTACAGGAATGCACAGAATGCCTCATCGAGTGTGCATATGACTCAAATGCGAAAGCGGAACAGGATTCTGAAGACCCCATCTTTTCCACAACATCAAGCAAATGTTGCAGGCTGTTGATGTTGTAAAAACCAAGTGTGATCTAAGTTCACCTAAGTCGCTAGAGTCAGTTAGGGTAATTTATTTCGATAAGCTCATCCAAATGACCATAGATTGCTCTTTGGGAATCCACTGTCATCTGTCACTTGAAAAGCTCTTCAGATCCTCCAATTGAATCGGTGTGAGTTCCAGTCACTGCAGGAGTGATAACTGTGAATATTCACCACCCCCCCCGCAATAATTCGTGTAAATGGTTGCTTCTGGTATAAGTAACTTTTCCTATGGGTAGCAGAATGTTGATGTCTCTATAAGGATTTTTTTCCTATAAATTCTTTCTTTAGACTTGTATCATAAAGTAGCAGGTTCCAGATTTAGTTTGCTCGTTGTATACCCCAATCAATAAACGGGATGTAACTATTACTTATCACATTCTGTCAATGGGTCATCGACTAACAGACTTCAGCGATCAGTTCAGCTGACCAGAGAATGTGTTGTTCATCAACGTAGCTATTTATGTAGGCACTCTCACATTAAACGTGGAAATTAGTCTATACCATATGGAGAAAATGCCTTTGCCTTCATTTCAGACTCACTTGTTTGTCGTAGTAGGTCACACCATAGAAATTGAGCTGTGCATTATATCGAACCTTAATTAAGCTAGTCGGTGAAGTAATCGCCACCCTGTATGAGTGTTTTGTGGCATCCGTACTAGAGAACAACTTTCAAGAAGCTTACTTCCCCCCCCCCCTCATACTGAACAACTGCATGGTTTGACCGATGTATCATGCTGGAAACGATTCAATACATTGCATCTCCTCATTTATAGGATCATTAGTTGAAGGGAATGCCTAGTCGTGCTGTCTTAGAATTCTCAGAAATGCTTATACACATGTTTTGTCTTCCACTGTGATTTCTGCCAAATCTGCGCAAGGATGAAGTGTGTGTTAATGTGGAGTATAGGTCATCCCATTGTTCCTATAATTCTCGAAATCAATTTGCGGTTTCGTTGAAGTCAGCGAACGGGGGAATAAAGAAGCACAGATGCCTAACAAAAACATGGTTTGGCATAGTTCCACTTATCTTAATGGTTGATTTCTCTTCTGCTATTAATATCAGACATAATCACATTTTTTACTTTACTTTTGATGGGTTATTGATTCGCATTTTCGCCATTCATTTTTCTGCTTACATAGACATCATCATCTACACACAAATCTGTAATAAGTATTTGTCAAGAAATAAAAAAGAAGCCTTTAAACACATATTGGATTATAAAAATGACACCAGATGAAGAGTCACTTCTTGAATCACAGTGGACAGAGATTCAAAAGCCACACAGTAGGACATCGTCAAGACAAAAGCACGAGCATATTATTCGTTACCGACGTTGGCTTGCATTTTTGATTGCCTTTGGAATTCTGTTAACATTGATACTTTTATTGGGTGCTTCATACTTTATGCATGTATATTCAAACGAAAGTCCTCAAAAAGACTGTAAGTGATAAGTAAATAAGGTGTTGCAATTGAGTGTAACGTAGGATTGTTGTCGTTTTCATAAAGCTTGTAGACTCATCTATCTATCACTTCTGTTTGACTAGTCAGCAATTCTTTAGGATAACATTTGTCTTAATTTATCTTCCTTCTGTAAAATTGCATTAAGTATACGATTTACACCTGTCAAACACAAGATGATATTTCAAGGCTGGTTTGCGCCATGTACTAGTTGAAAAAATAGGTGGTGAGGTGGTAGAGAGCGCTGACGACTTCATTGATTTGGGGAGTCGCATCAACTCTAATAAACTGATTGTTGATAAAGTCTTGTCACGGATACCAAAGGTTCGTGAGTAATTTGTCAACCTACATCATCTCTGGCATGGAGGTGATATCTAACTGGCTATCCATCAAATGACGCATTAGTTCACACTGTTCTCTTTTATGCCTGCAAGTCATGGCTATTAAGAATTGAAGGTATGAAAAGGCTAACCGTATATGACCGTAGGTGTGTATGTGTGTGTGTATAGGATAATGACTAATATTGAGGTCAGGCATAGATTGCCAGGTAACAAGGGTGATTCAATCTATGAGGTTGTGAGGCTATATCGATTGAGATGGATAGGGCTCGTGTCGAACTTCTACCTTCTTCAACAAGTGGTGTTAGGTGACATAGGATTAGGTGGAAAAGGGCTTAGGGCTGGTCAAACCCAAACCTGGGATTAGTTCCAGAAGTCTTGGACAGTTGCTTTGAGCCAGCCACGTAGGTTAATGTAGACTGACTGATTGACGTCCTGGAAGCAGTTAGATCTGACCTAGTCGATCGGTAGGCTAGTAATTGGGAGGCCTATGGATCGAGTGGCTTATTTGTCACATAGTTTTGCATAATACAAGTTCGAGAGTAAATACTCAAACTTTGTCTCTTTTAATATTTGTAGTTAGATAGCTTCACCGTGTAAGCTACCTATTTCTGGCTTTACTACCTACAGCAATATTCCTTTTTGAATTGTCGTGAAGTAATGATAACACAAAGTAATGATAAAATAAAGACCTGTTCGGATTATAAGGTAGGTCTCTTAACTTGCTTCCCTTCTCACTTACCGCAGCCTACGCAACTAGGTAATATATCATCAGTTGTCATACAATGAGTGTGTCTTTTAAACTAATACATTAGAAATGCTTTCTAGATAACTGAGATGTAACAGTATTGAGTGAAAATAGAATAAATATTGCGGAGACATGGCTTCCATCGGCCATGGATTCGAATCTTCTCCCAGTTTACTTCAGTCTGCGTGACTGGAGAGAGTTATCATCCCTCAATACAATAAGTGTGTATGGCTCATAGTCTGGGATATGAAGAAAACTTGTCCTGGATAACTTAGTTTTAACAGCAGCACAACAACCGCTGAACTAGATTTTTAGTTATCTTTTCTAAGTAAAAATTATTGTAATTTGGTAAACGGTGGTGATTAGCAGTGTAATCTAGAATGCGTGGTTCGTCCTATTCGGGGACTCGTCTCTTAGGCATATCGACAATTCCATTGAAAGTGATGGTGTTCCCACTGATAGTCGAACCCAGTACCCTTTATTTCAGACACGAAAACCACTTGTTAGTTAGTCCTCAGACATCGTAAAAGCCTCCATACTAGGAATCGATATGTCAACAGAAGCCAAACATTTCAGTCCAGTTAAACACCGTTGCAAAAGAGGTGGCTCTCGTGACCAAAGTGGTCTAAAAGATAAGGCTTTGATGTTTGAAACCATGGGTATTGGGTTCAACCCTCAGTTGTTGGAACACAACTACTCACAGGTGGTAGATCCAGTTGACGGGTCCAAAATTGGATGAAATACGCATCCTGAATTCCACTACTGGTTACCACTCATTTAAAGTTCTCAGACATCGTTGAAGCGTACGTACTAACAACTGATATGTTTAAAAAAAGGCCGAAAAATTCATTCCAATCATTCAGCGGGAATATCAAAATTGAGATTATAATTTCTTGAATTTGCTTTTTTCTATTTCACCCTCTCTTACTCTCTTTCTTACAATATTTTTACTCAGTTCCTGATTCAGCAAATCCAATCTGTTTACTGCCTATACTGACGGGAGTTGACTGTCAAGTTCACACACAACATTGGGGTTGGGATTCACAAACACACAGTTGTAAACAATTCATCTATGGAGAATGTAATACTAACAAGAATAACTTTTTATCAAAAGAAAAATGTGAAGAAGCGTGTAAAATTCGAATTAATGTATGAGGAAAGACGGAGAGGTTTGTGTGTGTATGTGAGAGGGGGTAATTGTAAGTACACCACTCACTCATCGCTAAACTTTAGTGCCTGACTTTGCATCTATCCACATCATCGCATGAAAAGCTTTTATCTCTTTTCCTATCTTGTTTATCCCTTTTTTTACTGTATACGTTTATCTCATAATATTACTAACTAACATTAAGACTTTTTGAAAAACTAGAATTTAGCCGAAACTAGTTTTCTGGTGTTTCAACAATCCAACATCTAAATTTTAATAACTTTATATTATTATTATTATTAATTACTGTATAATTGCCAGACCCTATGCTATACGCTCATGGATCATTGAACTATTTAATCTTATATACGCCAAAAAGTTGATTTTTGTTTGTTTTTTTAAATTTTCTATTCTCAACTTTGCTCCCATTTTTTTAGACCAAACTGATGACACACATATATTGTGTAATTAGTTATATTTCGTTTCTATCATTGGCTTTAAGTTCATCAGTGTTTAACACTCATGCGTTTTACCGAGTCATTAAAAATGGGATTCTGTCCAGTTATACGATGGCAGAATATATGCGTTCTTATTTCTGAGTCAGTCAGTTTGAGTACATAAACCACAATACCTCTGTGTGTCTGTGTAAGAGGTAAGGTGATACCTGAGTGAGTGAGTGAGTGAATAAATGTCGAACACTAGTGAACTAACTAACTTAAAGTCATGATAGAAATGAAATAAAAGGTTCTAACACACCTTCTTTTTATGACATATCTCATTCTCTCCCTTTCTCTCACTCTCTCTCCTGCTCGTTCGATCTCATTGATTTCAAATTCGTATACAAACGAGAAATCAGAGCACCACATGAGTATGTGTGTGTGTGTGAAGGCTCAGAAATGTAGACAGCTTTTTACATGCATGATATTATAAAGGATCTGACTTTTTTTATTGCTTTTGTATTCATTATTGAAATGTTTCATTTATTTATTTCCTTTTTTATTGTTCGAATTCTTTTATTCATGATATTGAAAGAATGCTTCGATATAATATTAAAAGTCTTTCTTTTTTAAATAAAAAATAATAATAATAAAATCTTCAATAACGATGCTTCTTCTTAAATCTAATTCTGAGACATTTGAGTGGCTTTTTTTCCAAAGTATTTTATATATTTTATGTCGACTTGCGTAATATGATTGCCCTCATTTCTATTTAATAATTTCATCATACCCTAGCTGATTTCTGCTGCTACTGGATTCAACATAGAACTTGGCACCGAAGTGCAGCAGTTCGAGTTGCCACGTTCCAAATAGCACACAAAGGTAGACAGGAAAATGAGAGAAGAGAATCAATAGAATTTAGATAAGTATAAGAGTGAAACAGAATGAGTAATGGTAGAAAGGAATATGCAGGTTAAAGAGACTGAATACATCTGCGTAAGCCATTGACAACGATTTTGAGCCATGTCACCTATTGTCTCCAGCCATTGATTCTTAGAGTCCCGAGGGCGGGCCCCAACCCGGAAGTCTGCATCTCCCTCCCTACCTGACTCAGTTTAACTGTCAAGGATTTCATGGATTGATGAGGCCATGTTTTTGTTTGGCCACCACTTAATCTTTTCCAACCTGCACCTACCTATATCAGCTAGTAATGCCCGTCCGTCGGGGGGAGACGATGGTTAGGCATGCGCAGCACGTGACCTAACCATCTCAATCTATGTAACTTCATAGCCTCTTCGATTGATTTTCCCTCTTTGCCCAACACTCTACGCCTAACGTCAACGTTACTTACCTTATTGTACCACCTAACACGAGAAAGAGATCGTAAACATCTGTGGTCAAGAACAGACAATCTCTTCATGTCTTCCGCTCTCAATGGCCACGTCTCACCGCCATAGAGAAGGACGGAGCGAACTGCTGAGCAGTATACACGTCCCTTGGTTGACAGCCGGATGTCACGCCTACGCCAGAGATGGTGTAAGTTAGCGAAAGCAGCCCGAGCTTTCTGGATCCGTGCTGTGATTTCATCACCAATCAATCCGTTGGTGCTGATACAACTTCCCAAATAGGTGAAGTTGTCGACATGTTCTATCACTTCACTCCCTATCACTACCTAGCTGATTTCAGCGGCTTAGACATTCATCTAGTGACTTAGAACATTAGGATGACATATTGTTCGCCTCGGTGAAGATGCTGACAAAATGCAGTGTCTTGTGAACACTTTCAGCAGAAATCTTAGAATGTTTTTTTATGAAATTTGTTCCTGTCCAATGTAATGTAAGATGATGCTACAGGAATGTGAGACGTGGCCATTGAGAGCGGAAAACATGAAAAGATTGGCTGTCTTTGATCGTAGGTGTTTGCGTTCTATCTCCCACGTGAAGTGGTATAATAAGGTGAGCAATATTGAGGTTAGGCGTCGAGTGCTAGGTAAGGAGGGGAAATCAATCAACGAGACTGTGAAATTACATCGACTGAGATGGTTAGGACATGTGTTACGTATGCCTAGTCATCGCCTTCCTCGACGGGCAATGTTAGCTGACATAGGGCCAGGCTGGAAAAGAGCTAGCGGTGGTCAAACGAAAACATGGCACCAGTCAATGAAATCTACAACAGCCACGTAGAAAGGTGTGGACTTCCTGATTGATTGGGGTCCTCGGGACGGTAAAAACCAATGGTTGGAAACAATTGGTGACATGGCTCAAAATCGTTCTCAATGGCTGGTGTAGATGCATCCACTCTTTGTGACTTATGATTTCCATTTAAACTGTTTTGTTCTTCGTTATTACTATTCCTTTGTCTCACACCTCTGTTTACTGACTATACTATGCATTTCTCCTACTTTTTTCTCTTGCTTTGTGTGCTACAAGGAGGGAGTGTGGCGACTTGAACTACCGCACATATGTGCAAAGTTCTATGTCGAAAACAGACAGACAGATGCTACAGGACTGCACTACTATATATAGACTCCTAGCTTAGAGATAGAGAATGAAAATCGTAGAGCGTGTTGACTATTTCACTTATTTTGGAAGTTGCATCATCCATAATGAACCGACTGATTGATTGATGACGAAATCTCAGCTTGGATACAAAAGGACCATGTTGCATTTTCCAACTTACGTGATATCCAGCTATGAATCGAAGGATGGTTTGTATTACTCAGTGGTTCGATCCGTCTTCTTTTATGCCTGTGACATATGACCATTGAAAGTTAGAAATATGGAAAGGTTACCTGTCTTTGATCGTAGGTGTGTGCGTTCTGTTTCTCTTGCTGGTTGGTATAATAAGGTGGGTAATATAGAGGTCAGATGTAGAGTGTTAGGTAAGGGGGGGGAAGTCAATCGATAATGTTGTGAAGCTACATCGATTGAGATGGCTAAGACATGCGTTACCGATTCCTAGCCATCGCCTTCTTTGACGGGCAATCTTAGCTGACATAAGATCAGGTTGGAAAAGAGCTAATCGTGGTCGAACCGAAACGTGGAATCAGTCTATGAAATCTCTGACAGTTAGTTTGAACAAACCCAGTAGGCTTTCTGGTTAGGGTTGTCGGAATTCTAAGAACTGATGGCTAGAGACAACTGGTGATATGGTTTCAAATCGTTCTCAGTGGCACAGTTGTGCTCACTCTTTGTGATCTCCCAGATCCGTTAAACTCTGTTGCTTTTCCATGTTAGTATTCTTTCTCCTTCACATACCTGTCTGTCTGTCTGGATTCAATATAGAACTTGGCACCGAAGTGCAGCAGTTCGAGTTGCCACGTTCCAAAGAGCACACAAAGGTAGACAAGAAAATGAGTGAAGAGAATCAATAGAGTTTTGACAAGTATAAGAGTGAAACAGAATGAGTAATGGTAGAAAGGAATATGAAAGATTACAGAGACTGAATACATCTGCCTAAGCCATTGACAACGATTTTGAGCCATGTCACCTATTGTCTCCAGCCTTCATTGATTCTTATAGTCCCGAGGGACCAAACCCGGAAGTCTGCATCTCCCTACTTGACTCAGTTTAACTGTCCAGGATTTCATGGATTGATGAGGCCATGTTTTTGTTTGGCCACCACTTACTCTTTTCCAACCTGCACCTACCTATATCAGCTAGTAATGCCCATCGGGAGGGGGAGGCGATGGCTAGGCATGAGCAGCATGTGACCTAGCCATCTCAATCTATGTAACTTTATAGCCTCGTCGATTGATTTTCACTCTTTGCCCAACACTCTACGCCTAACGTCAACATTACTTACCTTATTATGCCACCTAACGTGAGAAAGAGATCGTACCCATACTTGAATTCAAATAGTTCTTGTAAGGCGGTAAAACTATATTAAATGATGAGAAAATCAAGTGTTTAGAAATATGCATTAGAAGTATATGGATCTCGACTGATGATGACAAAGAGTAACTATCTTTACGCGACTGGGAACGATTTCGAAGTATATCACCAAGAGTGTTCAACTATTGATTCTTACTAATCTATAATAGACTTCACGCAGTCACCGTTTACTTCCTTACATGGCTCAAACCTGCAGGTGATAATTCTATAGATTACTCGCCCATTTTATACATCATCATTTGTTCCGTAGATATATGTAAATGTAAAGTAGATTGGAGATATGACTTCCTAACTTGAATGTTTAACTTTCAGCTACATCGAAGTTATGGTAACGGAGTAATGTCATAAGCCTTCAAATATCAAGAATACACTACAGCTTTATGTATGAAAAACAACCTAAACTGAGTATTGCAATAATTTCGTAACTTTATCTCGGAATAATTATATATGCAGTGGAATTGTACCTCGCTGGTTTTTAATTCTAAACTCTCCCGACCAAGTGGATCACTGGTTCCAATCTCTTTCTCCATCTAATCGAGGCCTGGATAGTCAAGTATTATCATAAGCCCTTATTACCAACATTTCTGTGATGTATTATTAGTTAGAACTACATATCTCATGACATGTTTAGGAGTGAATATCAACTATAATAGACACTACCATATGAACCTTCTAAAT